ACCGCCCTGTGAGCTAGGAAGAGGGAGGAGGGGGGTTTCACAGAGGAAGCGATGGAGGCTCAGAGAGGTTAAGTAACTTTCCTGAGGTCACAGAACAATCAAGATAAAGCATGGGGGTTTGACCCCAAGTCTGCCCAATCATTAAGTACACCCCCCCAACTCTGTCATCCTCCCGTGACACTTGTACCCCTGGTGAGCCGCTCCCCTCCTCTCCTGGCTTCCTTCCGTCTCTGGCGGCTTTGCTGGGCCTCTGCCCAGTCCTGGCCCCTCTGTCTGCCTGCCACTGGGAGCTCTCTGGGCATGTTCCTTCCTGGCCTCAGATGTTCCCCAACATGAGGAAGAGGAGGGGGCTGCAGGGAGTGGGACCTTGGCCACCAGGGGGCCTCTCGACCCTTCCCCCTGCTCTCTGATTTCTCACGAATATTTATTTTGTTGAGCTCCTCATGTGCCGGAACCGTCCCAGGCCCCGTGAACAAAACCAGACCCCCTGCCCCGTGGCGCTTGTCTTCCAGTGATGGCTGCCGCTTTCTGAGGCGGTGGGGGCCATGTCTCACCCAGCCCCAACCCCCACCGTCTCCTGGGCACCCCCTAGGCCAGGCCCTCTGCCGAGAGCTGGAGATCTGGGGTCTCCAGCTCCCCATGACCCACTTGCCCGGGGCCACCTGGCCGGTAGGGGTGCCCAGATTCCAACCCGGCTCAGTCTGACTGCAAAGCCCCTTCCCTGAACTCCTCTGCCACCAGCGCACATGTGGCCTGGGGCAGATCCTCAGCTCCCTGCCCGGTCCAGCGTATGTCTGCACAGAGCCTCCCTCGGGCCCTGCCACGTGGAACTGTGTGTGAGCCGGAGTGTTCTGGGTGGGGTTGGGGCGGCCTGCTTCCTCGGCCCGACTGTCGCTCATTCGCCTGTGCTGACAAAGGTGCCCAGGCCCAGCGGGCAGACTCTCTGATGGGCACAGTACAGCCCTGCCTTCAGATCGTTGGTCTCAGGGAGCCTAGGCGCCCATGAAGAGACCAGGAGTCTGGCCTGGAAGTGGCCAGTGGTTGTCCCTGCTGAGACCCTTGTGAGTCCAGAGGAGGGAGGGCACAGTTCCCTGGGGAAGGCGCCCTGGAGGGGGGGCTGTGCAAAGACCACGAAGAATAAGGGGCATCGAGGTGGGGGGAGCGGAGGGCCTTCCTGGTGGGCAGTGGTTCATCTGTTAAACGCACAGTGATTTGCCCGCTTTCTTGGGAATTGAGGTCAGAGAGGCAGCCAGGGGCAGAATGCCGAGGGTCGGGAACTCGAGGGCTGGGGGGCTACAAGCCATTGTCCCTTCTCCCTGCTTGGCAGGTCCTCCCAGGTGAGCGTGGCGGTGGAGGGGCAGCCTCTTGCCCACGCCTTCCTCGGGCCTCTGGCCTCGGGCAGCCTGGCACCGGGGATGCCCTGGGGGCCCTTCGGAAGGCAGCCGGTCTGGGAAAGGCAGCGTGGCAGCCCCATAGGCAGGCTTTTTCCATTGTGCACGGCTGAGTGAAAAGAGGGGAGCAGAGGGAGCGTGCGCCAGGCCTGTCCCGGGCTGGGCACCTGGCCGCAGACACCGCCCGCGCGCCCTCTCTATCCTCCAGCTCTGCTGCAGAGGGGGTCTTCTCATTACCACCGTGTCGCAGGGGCGGACACAGGCTGGGAGAGCGGCCGTGACTTGCCCAAGGCTCTGCAGCTGGGAAGAGGGCAGACCCAGGATTCAAGCCCATGTCTGGCTGCCCCAAAGCCTGTGTTCAGCCAGGGGGCAGGGAGTGGAGTGGAGGGAGGCTCCCTCTGTCCTCACTTAGTGGGGCCAGGCCTCAAAGAAACGCCTGGAGTGGCCCTGAAGGGGAGGAGAGTTCAAGGGCAGATGGGGGGTCCTGTTTCGGGGCTGGCGGGTGTGTAGGAGTGTTGCAGCTGCCCGCCCACCCCCCAGGCAGGGCCCAGTCCTGGGTGCAGAAGGGACGGAGCTTGGTGCTCAGAGCAGCTCACTTCGCAGAGGCAGGTGCAGGGCACCCTGTTCCCTGGAGGTCAAGTTCAAGGTCTCACTCTCCCTGGGCTGCCACAGGGCCCTTTGTTGATGGTGAGCTCGCTGGTGGGCTGGACTCTGGGGGGTCCACAGTGGGTCCCACCAGCTCAGGTACCGACGGCAGTGCCTGTGGATAAAGCTGTCCCACCTAAGAGTGATGTGGGGTGTCCAGTGGAGCCAGGGCGCCGTCATCCCCTTCTGTCCCCAGCCCCAGCAGGCTGGCACTGCCACGCCCGCGGCCTTCGCTTTTCGGGCTCGGGCCTGTGGTGCGGAGGGGAGCACTGTGTGTGCGGTGGGGAGGGCTGTCGGGCAGGGGAACGCTGCTGACTGAGCTGGGATGCCTGAGAGCCCAGGCCGGTGGGCCGTGGCCCGAGTGTCGGCCTTATGCCGTGAGACTGGGGTCTGGGGGCTTTGTCCGGTGGGGTGGAGACCTCAGGAAGTGCTAGTTAGGCCCCCTCCTGATCCGCCCTGGCCTCCACCCCAGAGCCACTGCCACATGGGTGATTTGGGGAGGGTGCGAGGGGCTGTGTCTAAATGCCATCTCAATCCAGCACTTTGCACGGTCCCAGCCCTGCCCCACGCCCTTCATGGAGATGGATATTCTCACAGCATCCCTATGAGGCAGGACCCTTAATTTTCCCAACTACAGATCGGGAGACTGAGGCACAGAGAGGTTGAGTGACCTGCCCACGGTCACACAGCTAAGAAGCGGTAGGCGCGGGATTTGAACTCAGAGCGTGGCCTCAGCTGTCCAGCTGAAGTAGTTCACTGGCACTTTATAAAGCACTTCCTGTCCGTTATTTTGTTTCTCCTTACCCAGCCCTAGGGGAAAACAAGGGCTACTGTTTCCATTTCACAGATGAGAGCACTGGGGCTTGGAGGAGAAGCAACTTGCTCTGATTGATGGCTGACAGATCAGCGCCCCTGTCCCCACCCAGGCTGTGAGCCACTTAGGGGCAGGGGCCCTGTCCCACCCCCTGTACCTGGCTCACAGCGCATCCTCATGAAATGCGATTCCTGCATTTCAGTGTGCAGTTGCTGCACCCCGTGCTGTGACCAAGCTTCTCTTTTGGCCCCTAGATCTCTAGGAGGTGGGAATCGTAGCTCCATTTCACAGATGGGGAAAACCGAGGCTCAGAGCAGTGAGTGACTTGCCTGAGTCACAGGGCCGGTAAGGACTCAGTTAGGTAGCACAGCCGGCCTGGGCGAGAAGGTTAAACGGCCAGGGGGTCCTACCTGAAGGGCTCGCATAAGGCCTCCCCATACCTGGAGCTGGCGAGGACGCCGAGGAACTGGACCGCCCATGCATCGTGGGCGATGTCAGTGGTTTGCCACTCTGTGGAACAGTTGAGCACTTTCTCCCAGAGTTAAAAGTAGATTTACCGTACAACTCGGTATAATTCCACTCCTGGGGATTTACCTTCGAGAAATGAAAACTTATGGTCACACAAAAACCTGTACACAGGTGTTTATAGCAGCTCTACTCATAATCGTCACAATCTAGAAACGACCCAGGTGTCCTTCTGTGAGTGACTGGATGAACGGTCCGTCTCTCCACGGAAGCATACTATGCCGTGAAGAGGAGTGGACTGTTGATGCGCACGACAGCTTGGGGGAATCTCAAAGGCATTACGCTGAATGAGAGAAGCCAGTCTCGAAAGGTTATTCACTATATGATTCCATTTATCTAACATATTTGAAAAAACAGAAACAAAACTAGTGACAGACAGCAGATCAGGGATTGCCAGGGATCAGGGGTGAGGGGAGGGTGTGGCTGGGACAGCACGAGGGAGTTTTTGGGGCGATGCCACTGCCCTGTGTCCTGATTTGGTGGTTACATGACTCTGTGTGTGTGCTGAAATTCACATAACTGTACAACAAAAAAAGGTAGCTATGGCCGTGCTGTGCGTAAATGAGACAAGGCCAGAGGGGAGGCGGGAAGAGGAAGGGTGGGGGCCCGGCTGCCCGGTGGGCGGTGCCATCGCGGAGGGGCGGATGGGGCCGAGCTGTGGTGTGCCCGGGTGTGGGCAGCCCTGCTCAGGCCCACCTGGCAGCGGGAGGGCCGCCAGGCTGGTTATAGCTGCTATCTGGATTCACAAGGAGGTGGTGACAAGTGGCTGAGATATTGTGACAGTGTCCAGGGCCCCATGGAGCAGTGCGGTTAAACCCCGGCTCCCCGTGGGGCCGGCTGCCTCCCCGCCCACTGGCATCGGGCCCTGGGACTGCCTTCCTGGTCACCACCAGCCACCTCCCGTGTCCCCGGGCGGGGGTGTGGAGGGGAGGCGTCACTGCCCCCGTTTACCGACGAGGACCAGGCTGGGGGGCATCGCTCTCACTGAAGACCCCGCTACCCACTCTGGCTGGTATTTCCAAACTCAAGCTGGTAGCTACCTGCCTAGTTTTTCCAAGTTTATTTATCCACATCGTCCAAATACCCCACAATGGGACTCTCTGTTCTAATGTTTATTTGCTGGCTGCTTTATTTTGTTTTAAGACGCTGGGAGGCTGGAGGACCACAGGTGACCTGGGGACATTTCTGCCTCTGGCAGCCCTGGCCACAGGGCCAGCCTGGGGCCACACAACGCTAAGACTGGGGTCCGAGGACTGGTCAGGGAGGTCCGGCAAGCCCAGCTCAGGTCCCCTGGCTGAGGGACAGGTGACTTCTGAGCCTTGTCTGTGAACGGCGGTGGTTTTCCTGCTCTGCCAGAGGGGGGCCATGGGTGGCAATGAGATGCTGGAATACGGGAGGCCCCTGGCGCTGGGGGGCACACGGCGGGGTGGGGGTACTAGTGCTGTTCACCCGTCTCGGTGGAACTGCATTGAGCTCGGTTTCCTCATCTGTGGAATGGGTGTCAATGGTCCCCATCCTGCAGGGAGGCTGTGATTAGAGGAGCCCAGTGCCACCCCCCGGGGAAGCTTCTGGAAGCCTTTACCTCACTGCGGCTGACAGTCCTGTCTCCCCTGTGTAGGTTTTGTGCTGACCCAAGGTGAGGACGGGCACGTGCTCCTCTCTGCGTCTCCGTCGCCCAGCTCAGTGCCTGCACACAGTAGGTGTTCGAGACCTGGCTCCAGGTGGGGTTGGGGGCTGTGGGGGACGGGGGGCAGACATGGAGGGGGCGAGGCTGAGGGTGGTGCCAGTGGCAGGGCGGGGACGAGGCCTGGACTGCAGCCACAGGACCCCTGCCAACACTGCTGGCTGCTCTCCTCTGGCTCAGCGGGTCCCACGGCCACCCCCTCCCATTGTTTCAGCCCTGGTGGCTTTGAAGGAGGTCCTCTGGGAGATGTGAGCGAGGGGGGGGGAGTGCGTGCTGGGCAGCAGGGATGGGGAAAGGTCACTGGGGGTCCTGGACCCCGCACGGGCTCAGGACCCCCGCCCCAGGTTGGGCAGATCCTCCCCTCTTCTGGACCTTGTTTGCCTGACGGAGCCCGAGCCCCTCTTTACCCCCACCTCTCCCAGGAACTTCTGGGTGTGGGCCCCATCCAGCCCAGTGCCTCGTCTGGGCCCAAACTCCCCTCCAGGGCCAGCTGTGAGGCTCCATCCAGCCCAGTCACCTGGGGTGTGCCATGTCCACTTAGGCCAGACGGGCTGGCAGAGCTAGACGGGCCTTGGGAGCATCCGCCCCAGCCCATTTTACAGATGAGGAAGCTGAGGCCGGAAGAGGGGAGAGGCCTGGAAACTGCGCAGCACCAGAGGCCTGTGTCTCCCCTCAGCCGTTCCACGGACGCTGGGTTCCCCGACAAGATGGCAGCCAAGCAGCCTCCCCCTCTCATGAAGAAGCACAGCCAGACGGACCTTGTGAGCCGCCTGAAGACCCGCAAGATCCTGGGCGTGGGCGGGGAGGACGACGACGGGGAGATCCACCGCTCCAAGGTGGGCCGCAGAGGGCGCCTGGAGCCGGCCACGCCTGGGGTCCACCGCTGAGCACCAGTGTGGGGAGGCGGGGCTGGCCCGTCGTGGGGAGAAGAGTAGCCGAGGACCCTATAGCTGCACAAGCCCCTGAACGTAGCACATTTTTCTGGAAACTTAATAGAGACGTCAGGGGAATAATAAAAAGGAAAACCCATCATTAGAATGAGTGTGTTTTATGTGCGCAGTATTGCACAACTGCTCTGTAAGCATTATTTAATCTTCTTGCTGGCCCTGGGAGGTGTCGATATAGTTATTAACCCATTTTACAGATGAGGAAACTGAGGCTCGAAGAGGTTTAGGACTTCCCTCAGGCCACACCAGGAAGTGGCCTTCAAGCCCCCGTCTGCAGACCTCTGAGCTGTCCTTCTCAGCCACTGTATTTTCAGCTTCCTTTAAGCCGTGGTGTCAGGGAGGCAGAGAGGGGGTGACCCTCCCTGCCTGGGTGGCCCCTTGGCTAAGCAGAGGTCCCGGGGGTCCCTGGGTGTGCGAGGGGCTCTGGGAGGGGGCGAGTGGGCTGGGCGTGCTGTCAGCCGCCTTCTCATTGTTGCCTCTGACGCCCCTGTGTCCACAGATCAGCCAGGTCTTGGGCAATGAAATCAAGTTTACTGTTCGGGAACCTCTGGGGCTGAGGTGAGCATTTACGTGTGAGTCTGGGGGGGCAGGGTCATGGGGAGGGGCTGCCTGAGACCCCATCTTGGCAGCCTTGCCCTGTGTCGTGTTGACCTCGATTCCATCCCATCTCATTCCCTCCCCCCAAACCAGCCACCCCTGGGCTCCTCGGCTGGGGAGGGGAGGGTCCCCTGGGGCCTGGGTGGCCGCGGGGGCCTGGCTGTGACCTTCCTCTCCACGCCCCAGGCTGTGGCAGCTTGTTTCCGCCGTGCTCTTCTCCGGCATTGCCATCATGGTGAGCCCCCGCCTCCCTGGGGACCTGGCCCTGGGTCTCACTCCCCCGCCGCACGTCTGGGCCTCGCGGGGGCTCCCCCCCTGCCCTGGGCCCCGGCTCCCTCTCCCCCGTGGCCGTCATGCTGAGGCCCCCTGTCCAGGCTGTCTGGCTGCCTCCACCTTCCTGGCTCCCGACACTCCCCCACCTGTGCCCCACCTGCCTGGGGCATCCCAGGTCCCTCGCCCATGGCCCGGACTCCTGGCCCCTGGGCACCCCAGCCCCTTCTGTCCTGGCATGGAGGGGTGGGGGGTCAAGGTCCCGGCCCTGCTCCCCGGGGAAGGAGGAGATGTCCAGGGGGAGTTTCAACAGGGACCCCCTCACCCTGAGCCTCTCGCCCGCTGTCCGCAGGCTCTCGCCTTCCCCCACCAGCTCTATGACGCCGTCTTCGATGGAGCCCAGGTGACCAGCAAGACCCCCATCCGCCTCTATGGTGGCGCCCTCCTCAGTGGGTATCACTGGGCGCACTGTGGGGGAGGGATGGGCAGCTGGGGGACCAACCTGGGCTGAGGGGAACCTGGGGAGCCTTCCTCTGTGCTGGGGCTCCCCTTCCCAGCCCCCGTTCAGCTGATGAGTCTCTCTGCTGGGTGTGTGCTGCCATCTTGTGGCCACTGGGGGAACTGGGGCTCTGTCTTTGCCGTCTCCTGGGACAAGCAGTTGAGTGCCCGCTGTGTGTAGTGCCCGCCTGCGCACTGGGGTACAGAGGTGAATGAGACCAGGCCCTGCCTTCCAGGGGCCTCACAGCCTAGAGGAGGAGGCAAAATCAACACAGCGTCTGCAAATACCGTCACATCCTTGGGCCTCCCATTTGTTTCCTCTCATCTGAGTCACACGGTGCCTGTTAGGAAGCTGAGTTACAGCTTTCAAACCCAGCACAGATAGTGTCCCTCCCTTCCTCTAAAACACTCTATGGCTCCCTGTTGCCTGCAGACTTTAGTCCCAGCTCCACCTGGCCTTCAGGGTCCTCTGTGGGGTGGATCCAGCCTGCCTTTCCAAACCTACCTTACCCCATCCCCCGGGGGGCCCTGCACTCCAGCCACACCTCAGGATGCCCCATCCCTGGTTTCAGAAGGCCTCCGTGCCTTTGCACGTGCAGTTTGCTGAGCCTTGTGCCCACTGCACTTCTACTCAACCTCAAAGGCCGGCTCCAGTACCTCTGGGGCAGGGGCGGTGGAGATGGGGGCGGCTTCAAACCCTTCACCCACGCGGTGGAGAGCTGGAGTTACGGGTTGTGGGGTTGGTTTGTTGAAATAGAACGGGAGCGTATCTGGTGTTCAGAGCTGGCAGACACGGTAAGAGGTTGAGGCTAAGCTGGTGGTTCTTCTACTAAAAAATATGGCCCACCGCCTCCCCCGGGGACTTCCTTAGTGATCCCTGACTGGGCTCAGGTTCTCTGTCTCCAGGAGCACAGTGGGAAAGAAAATGTGATGGGGGGACCAGGTAACCCACTAACTCAGTAGACTCCATCAATGCAGAATGGTCGCAGTATCTGATACGGGCTCAGTTCTCCCCTTTCACAACTGAAAAGACAGCCCCAGGGAGGGGACGGACTTGCCCGGCATCCTCTGGTGAGCTGGAGGTTACATAGACGGGAAGGAGCTTATTGGCTGACGCAGCCGAGTCGGATCTGGAAGGAACTGGACGGGGATGGACAGATGAGTTTTAATTTGAGGAATGTGAGTGGGAGCAGGAGATGTGGAAGTCGAGATCCCGGCTACCTCGCCTTATAAGGCCACGGGGAGGAAGACCAGGCCCCTGCCCCTGCCCCTGTCCCCAAGGGGGTGGGGGTCAGGCTGCCCCGCCCCCATCCGCTCTCTGTCCCCGCCCCAGGCATCTCCCTGATCATGTGGAACGCGCTCTACACGGCGGAGAAGGTCATCATCCGGTGGACTCTGCTCACCGAAGCCTGCTACTTCGGGGTACAGTTCTTGGGTGAGTCCTGAGGCGGGCAGTGAGGGAGGGGCGGGGGTGCGGGCAGGGCAGCTGCGCCCCCCCCTTCTGGCTCTGTCCACCTGGGTTTCCAGAAGTGATGAAGGCCTGTCTGAGGGGAGGGACTCGTGGGGCTGTGTTTACCTGTGTGCCCGCACACCTGTGCTCCACACCTGACTCGTTCCTGTGGCTTCCTGAATACACACCTACATATCCACAGCCTCCCACACGCCCGTGCACCTGCAGCCTTCCGTGCCCATTGCTCACTCTGTTCCCAGCATGGGGGTGACAGCACACCCCGGTTTGCCCACATGCTCCCCCAGTACCTGCCCCGTGGGGACATCAGACTTGTCTGTGGCGTCGGGTGAGGGGGCAGGTCCTGCTTGTCCCAGCTGGCGGACCCCTGGCTCAGGGCGGGGTCAGCGTGGCATCACCAGGGGGAGGCACACCCCTCCTCTGACCTCTGACTCCTCCCGGCCTTTCTTCCACAGTGGTCACTGCCACGCTGGCCGAGACGGGCCTCGTGTCCACGGGGACCCTGCTGCTCCTGGCGAGCCGCCTCCTTTTCGTCGCCATCAGCATTTACTACTATTACCAAGTTGGCCGGAAACCCAAGAAAGTCTAGCCTCCCGCCGGGCCGGGGCCCCTCTGCGCAGGGAGGCCCTGGGGCCTCAGTTTCCCTTTTGTTCTTGGACGCCCGGAAGGACCCTGCTTGCCCCAGCCCTGCCCCAGGCAGGCGGGGGTGGCCGCCCTCCTCTCCTCCCGGGCACTGTGGACGCTGCGATCGCCTGGCTTTCAGGTTTGGGGGGGACGGGGCCTCCGCACCCCGTCCCTCGCCCCACACAGTGCCGCCTCCTTTTCTTGGGCCTCTTGGCCTCTGGACCCCCTGGACAGACGCCGACGGAGAGCTTGAGTCACGGGGGCGTGGGGCTGAGGCGGGGCTCTGGCCGCGTCTGCCAGGAGGCCCTCCTTTCCTTCGAGAGAGGCTGTGGCCGCCTCCCTGTCCTCCCCGCCACCCCCGGCCAGTCTGGTGCCCGAGCAGCTGAACTGGGCTCTGTCTATCCTGGAAGCCCCGAGAACTTGACCCTGTGCCCCTGCTCCTGCACATGGGCCCTCCCCACGTGTGGGGGCCCCTCCATCCCCTGAGCACACACCCGGCCCTTCCCCAGCCCAGCTGGCTGTGTGGACCTGACACTCCCCTTACAGCCCTTCCGCGAGGTGGGCCGCAGTCAGCCAGAGCCCTGTCCCCAGCCCCAGGCCTGGCCACCACGGGCGCTCCTGGGGCCTTGCTCTAGGCTGCTCTGGAGGCCCCTAGGAGCCCCCTCCCCCCAGTGGCCTGGGTCAGTGGCCTCACCCCCAGGCCGGCCCTGACAGGTGGACACAGAGATGACCCCAGATGGAGGCCACCTGTGAGGGAGGGGGTTTGGGTTGAGGAAGAAAGAAAAGCAGTGGCATTTCCTTGTCCCTTGACATGTCCTGCAGGGTCTGAGGGCCACCTGGCTCAGCCCCTCCCCCCCGCCCCCCGTCGCCCCCTCCCCAGGGTGCCACCCTCGGGACCTCCGGCCTGGGCTGGCCCCTAGGCCTGGCTGACTAGGGCTGGGGGCCCTTCAAACTCAGCGGGGGAAATAAACAGAAATATTTCAGCAGGCCCCCCTCTCAGCCCCCACCCCATGCCCTGGAGAAGGGGGAGAGCCGGCGCCCTCAGAGCTGAAGGCCCCGCCCTGCCCCTTCCCGGCAGCTGAGTGCTCCCAGTGTTCTCCTTCCCTCCTGTTCCCCAGGACACGAGTGTGCCCACCAGGAAGGGCAGCCCCCAGGACTGGGGACAGGCGTGCAGAGAAGCAGCCCGGGCCCCGACTCCCTTCCCGTCTTGGAGTAGAGTGTGTTTGGGGGGACATGGGTGGTCCTTAGGGGCCCCACACTGCCCTCCCCTGTGCCCCGCTGTCCCTGTAGCCATACGCCCAGAGCCCGGCAGAGAAAGGCAGCACCACTGCCGTCACAGCTGAGGAGAGCCCCAGCGGGAGGGACCCTGGGCACGGGGGACGGGCCCGCTCTTTGCTGGCGTCCGTCTCTTGCCACTGAAGCTCGTGCATCTCCAGGAACCCGGCTCTCGCTCCCCGGCCACCAAGCCCTGGGCGGGCCGGGGGCCACTGCCACCTTTGGGAGGTGGCGTGGTGGCCAGGGGGCAGTGCCTGCAGGCCAAGGCCACGTCCTCCATCTGACCATGCCTTTTAAGGCCTGGCTGAGCCTCCCGTGGGTGATGGACAGTTTGTCCTAATGATCTCTGGGCACGGCGGGTAGATTCCCCAGGGGGAGGCAGGCAGGGAAGTGGCAGTGCGGGCATTGGGGTCAGTCTCTGGGTGGGGCATCTCGGCTGAGCCCGCTAAGCCCCCTTTCTCTCAGCCTGGGGGTGGGGGTGGCCTGGCCTTGCCGCATGGGGTGGCAGTGAGGGCCCGCTGGCGTGGGCATGCCCAGGCTGTGGCACAGAGCGGTGCTTGTGAAGTCCCGTGCTGCTGGGCTGAACATCGGAGCGAGGCCCGGGGGGAGGGCGTCTGGCGGACAGACATATGGCCCGGGGTGCGGGGCACGTTAGGACAAGGGGGAGGTGTGGTTGGGAAGGAGGCAATTACAAAGGGGAGAGGGACAAAGGAGCCCACAAATCTAGGGAGGAAGGCCCAGCTCCCCATCCTAAAGGTTTGGGAAGACCCAGAAAACCCGCTGCCACGGGACCCAGTACCCTCTTGCCAGGCACCTGCCCCCCCCAGCCCTCTCACCCCCACCCCCAAATCAAGACCACCTTTCTTCACGGTCACTATTTATTCTTCATTCCTTTTTCTTTTTGTAAGAAATGGTCACAAAAACCAGTGCAAAACCATCAGTGTGGGCATCCTGTTTATATTACAAAACTCCTTTTGATATATAATATAAAAGGGGGGGCTCACAGGAAATACACATGATAAGTTAGCTCTGCTATCTACCGTGAGGAATGTGGAGGTTTCAAAATAGACTTTCGACATAGACCCACAGGGGGAAGGGAAGAGGGGGCTTCTGGGGAGAGCGGGGTGCTGGGGCCTCGGCTGGTTTGGGGGATCCTGTCTGGGCCCCTTAGGTATGGGTAGGAGAGAGGGGCGTGGGAGGCGAGGAGGGCCCTGGCCCCTAAGATGTAGTCCCTTCTCCAAGAGGCAGCAGCTTGGGAGCAGGAAGGTGGCTTCCAGAATGGGGTGGGGTGTGTGGCCAGCAGAGGTAACCTGGCCTGTTAGTGGCGGCGAGGAAGTCTTGGCACAGAGGCCTCTCTACCCTGTCCCCCAGCTCCCCAGCAGCTGGCAGCAGCACCTGCTATGGGCTGTGTCTGGACCAGCCCAGCCACGTCTGGGAGCCTGAGAGGATCCTCTCACTGGGGCGGAGCTGTCGTCTTCCACGCCCCGAGGAGTGTGGATAGCTGCCCACCTGGGCTAGTGCTACCGGGGGCGAGGACTGCCTGCTTTCCCGCCCTAGCCCCATGTGTGGTCAGTGGGGCCTATTCAGGGCTCCCTGGCACCTTTCTGGAAGGGCCTTTGGGAGGGGAGTCTCACATCCACCCGTGAACCAACCACCTCAGCCAGATGTTCCCCCGTGAGCTTCCTCCTCAGGGGGCCAGGAGGGGTGGGGGTGGGAGAGACTGGGAGCTGGGGGTGCCGGAAGCCAGGCTCCTCCTCACTGGGAAGGCCCCAGGTTCTCCTGGGCAGCAGGGACCTCCCGGGACTGGACCCACACAACTGCCCAGTTTGCCCTTGACCCCCCAGCTTGTTCTGATGGTTTCTGTCAACCTCAGACCAGCTGTGTGCCTTGGCTGGAAGCTGGAGCTGAGCCTGTGGGTGTGTCTAGAGAGCAAGCCCTTCTCAGCCTGCGCTGGGGGACCCGCTGCAGGGTCCCCTGGGTGCCAGGGACGTCCAGTCATCGAGTTGCCAGGACAGGCGGCTACAGGGGCAATCTGGAAAGACCCAGCTCAGAGACCTGGGGGGAGGACCAGGACAGATGGGGACAGTGGGAGGGGGAAAGGGAAGGATGCGAGGAGGGTCAAAGGAGTTTTTCCAGCAGGCACAGAGCTCTGGCCACATGTCACAGGGGGCAGTTGGCAAAGTAGGGGAGCCCTGGGCTCTGGGCAGCAGCTCTGTCTCCCAGTGGCTGGAGAGCAGGAGGGGGAGGCTGGACGCTGGCACATGGCCTGTGAGACACCGTGGGCTCTTCCCAGACCCTGAAGAGGAACAGTGGAGAAACGAGAGGGGAGTAGCACCATGCTGCCCCTCCCACTCCCATGCCCGTGGCAGACATCACTAATCAATCAAGATCACACTGCCCTCCCACTGAGGCCAGACCCAACCTAGGAGCCTCTGCACAGCCTCCGGTGGCCACTCCTGACTGATTGGGGTCAAGGCATCTTGCCGTCAGCTGCCAACACCGGTCTAGAATCTGAGGCCAGCAATGAGGAGCTGACTTGTGGGTGCTGTGTGGGTGTGAATGAGTCTGTGGGGAAACCTCTCCCTGCCTGGGCCTGGAGGGAACACTCAGCAATGTGCTGTGGACATGAAGGGACAGGAAACCAGGTCACAGCAGAAATGGCTGCAATGCCCTGGAGTTCTTTAGCCTGGAGACAAGGGGACTCAGGGGAGACAATGTGTGGCCTTCACACTTTGGGAAGGAGAGAGAGCAAGAGGGATGCCATGGACAGAGCCACAGAAAAACAGACCTCTTCTGTGTATTGAGGTGATGCTAAAGTCAGAGCAGTCCAAAGGCAAGGAGGCTGTCTTGGGAGGTAGTGAGCTCCCCGTCCCTGGAGGTGTGCAAGAAGAGGGTAGAGAAGTCTTGGCAGGGATCTTACGGAAGACATCCAAGCCTCAGGAGGAGAACCAGATGGTCTTGGGGGTTCCTTCCAGCCTGGGAGCCAGGGCATCGATGGTGAACAGGGAAGGGGAGGGGCTTGTGGGGAGCGGTGGGCAGTGTGGAAAAGGAACTGTGGCGTGTGTCCATGTGTGTGTCCCTGGGGGCTTGGCAGTGTGGGGAGGCGGGAGGAGGGCAGGGGGGACAGAATCCAGAATTTTCTTAGCTGTGGAGCTTGGAAGAGCAGTTCCTGGCCAGCCTGCCCTCTCTCTTCTGGGGAAACCTGGATGCTGCGGTCAGGGAGGGGTCTGAGCAGCTGATCTGCTGGGACCAACAGAGCCCTGGAAGGAATGACAGGCAGCCTGTCACCCGGTCCTCGTTCAGAACCGTCATGCATGTGCTGTGTGACTATGGATGAGGAGCTGCCCCTCTCTGGGCCTTCCAGATTATTTGGCCCAATGGACGGGACAGGCAAGGACCTCTCCAGCTGGGCCATCCTTGGGTCCAGTGTCTGAAGGCCACTCTTGGCCCCAGCCCGAGGCAGGGACAGCTCCATCCTCGGAGGAGCAGAGATTGCACGTGGGTTCCAATCCTCAAGGACGTGGTGACGGGATCTCCTAGGGCCGCTGGACTTTGGCGCCCTCTCTCTGAGATTTGCTTTTGCCTCCTTGTTGCCTAAATCACCACTCCCTTGGCACCAGGTCCGGAAGCGACGAGGAGAGGGCCCGGCCCGGGGTCGCGGGGGTCCGGCTGGGCCGAGGAAGGCCCGGGGCCCGGTGTTCCTTTGGTCTCTAGAGCAGCCTGCATCCCGGGCTCAGGCGCTGGGCCCCCCGCGGAGAGCCCGTGGCATCCCCACGAGTCCAGGTGGGGGACAGCAGTCCGTATTTTTGTCTTCATTTCGTTTTGTTAAAAAAATAGCTATTTTCCCTGCCCCTCTCCTGGCTGCTCAGGACGGCCGCACCTCCTCCCTGGGGGCCAGGAGGGCAGGGCGCGGGAGAGGGGGGGCGTGGGTGCTGGGCAGCGCTGGGCGGGGCGTCCTCAGGCCACGCCCGCTACTGGATGCCCCTGAAGAGGCACATGGCGAAGATCATGGCGAAGAGCTGCAGGGAGAGGGGGGGTGCTGGTCAGGCGGGGCCCACCCCGCGGCCGCCCACCGCTCAGCACACTCCCGCTGTGAGGGTCCTGACATCGCCCGGGGCGGGGGGGGGGGGAGCAGCCCCTCTCGGCAGTGGCTGGTGCCCTTCACGCAGTGTAGTCATGGTAAGAAGGGGGTTTGGACACGGGTGCAAGTCCAGAGCCTCTATTGCCAGCGGCAACACCGGGCCAGAACACTTCCCTTCTCGGGGCCTGAGTACGTATGGAGAGCTCACCGTGTGCCAGGCAGTTCTAAGCGCTAACTCAGAAACCCCTTCACAGACAGGGAGTGAGGCACAGAGAGGTCATGTGACCCGCCTGAGGTCACACAGCTTCCAGCGGGGGAGCAGGGTTTGCGTCTAGGCGCTCTGACCCAGAGCCCAGCTCATAACGCCTGCTGTCCCCTTCTGGCTCACAGGACGCTGGTGGGATTGAAGGAGAGGGCGGTCATCTAGGACAGAGTGACGCCTCATACGTAGACGCTTAGTGAGGAGCCACCAGGATCGTTACTAACAGACAAGGAAGATGCAGCCCTTCCCGGAGTTAGAAACAATCACTGAACGCCTGTCTAAGGGACCCTGACTCAGGGACGCCCCCTGGCCAGACTGGCCCATCCCCCGCGGCCAGATCTCTTCTTGCAAGTGGCACAAGGAATGGTCCCCAGGCCACAGGCTCATGGCCAAACCTCCAGAGGGACAGTAGGGTGGGGGAGGCGAGGCTGGGGCAGGGATACAGTAAAGGTCCCCGTCTCAGAGCGGGGCTCTGCCTCCCGGGGGGGCCACAGCTGGGCTTGTGGGCTGGGCGTGAGGGCAGCAGATCAGGAACACAGACACTGCTTAATGAGCCCTACTAGGCGCCAGGCACGTGGCCCCCATCCTCTGTAACCCCCACACCGGCCCAGGAGCAGGGTTATCGGCACCATTTTGCAGACCAGGAAAGTGCAGCTCAGACGCCCTGTGTCTGAGGACAGGCAGGGCTGGGAGCTGGCTCTAAAAGCCCAGAGTCCTGCGGGGACACAGGCCTGCGATCTCCCCGAGTCCATGCACAGATGTGTTTTTGGTTCCTCGTCCCCTCCCAGGAGCGGACTCGGTCACCTAGAACAGTGCTGGCACACAGCAGTCTATGCTTGCTGAATGAATGAATGAATGAATAGATGAATCAGTGACCCCTCCCTCTCCCCGATCCCCAGCAGTCTCCACAAACTCCCCTAGGGGGGCCGCAGGACAGTGCGAGGCTGAGAGAGGCGACCTTTACGGCGCCAGGCAGGCGTCGGGCGCCCGGAAGGCAGCCCCGCACGGTGGGCGGGGCAGGCTGACGATCGGGCGGCCGGACTTCCTTTCCCCGCAGGCCGAGGACGGGCTGAGGCCCGGGGCCCTTCCCGGAGACGCGCGGGCGTGGGCGACGCTGCGGGTCCAACCCCCCGAGCGGCGGGTGTGGACCCGGGGAGGGCGGGGCGGCTGCGCCCTCTGGCTGCAGCGCCACCTAGTGGTGGCTGCGGGCGTCTGCGTCTGCAGCCGCCTTCCCTTTGAGGGGCCCTGGGGCCTGGGGGTCAAGGGGGCTCAGATCGCCCTTGTGAGGTTAACAAGGCTCGCAGGCCCCGAACATCCCCCAGAGAAAGGGCCAGCTGCAGCCCCTGCCTCAAGTCAGCTGTGCTGATCCTTCAGTCAAGAGCTCACTCTGGACCTGGGGCTGGGTTGGGGTGGGGTCTGGGGGGTTGATGGGAGAGGAATGGAGACGTTGGGGATGAGGGAGTGACCCTCAGGGCCTGCCTGTCCCCAACCCCCAGTCTTGCTCAGATGCGCTCAGAGGGCCGTGGTGACTCTCCAGCAGCAGAGACACAGCCAGGCTGACCACCCCGTAGTTCCCACTACGGGTGGGCGACCCTTCTGGGGCCCGCTTAAGGACCTGGAGACGGAGGTAGGCTGGGGGGTGCAGGCACAGGGGATCTGCCCCAGACCCCGTGTGTGCCCTGCTTCTGGGGAGCTGCGGGGGGGCTTCACTCACCTCGATGGCCAGCACGCCTATGGCGAGGGCTCCTGCCAGGTAGACGTAGGTTTCGAAGGCGTTGAGGATCACCGTGTAACAGCCCTGGGGGAAGGTCGGAGATGAAGCCGCAGCCAGGAGGGACAGCCTGGGGTCAGGGCCCAGCGTCAGGACGGGGCTGTGACGCCTGCGGACTGGCAGGTGGCCCCAAGCTCAGGCACCAGCAGGCCCACCCTGTCCAACCCCCGTGGGGACAGTCGGTGGGGGGAGGAGGGGGCGGCAGGAGCCTCAGGAACGTGAGCATCACACCGAAGATGCTTCTGGCCTCCAGCCCCAGGGCAGGCTGAAGACTGCAGCCTGGGCACCAGATCAGCCACAGACCCTTTCTGTGCAGCTGCCACAGTGACAGGAATATTGGGAAATTTCCAGAAACATCTGGACTCCCTGTTGCTCTCAAAAAACCAGAAGATCCAGCAAGGGGAGCCATTGTTTCTATGTGGCAGGACCTGTCAGACGGGATGATAGCTCCCTGGGGGTGCACAGCCCCATCATTCCCTGTTCTCCCACACCCACCCTCTCTGCTCATTCTCACCACCTGCCTGCTGGCTGAAGGACTTCTGGTTTTCAGCCTCTGCCCTCAGGAAACAGCCCATCCTTCAAAACCCAGCGCACACCTCACCTCCTCCGGGCAGCCCTCCAGGACCAGCCCAGCCTGCAGGGCCCCCTCTAAATGGACTGAATTCCCATGCTGTTGCTGCTTTTTCAAGCAGTCCTGGGGATACCAAACTGAGACAGAGATGGAAATAGAGGGAGAGAGCGGGCAAAGCCAGGAACTGCCAGTCGGTGACCGCCAGCCCTGAGCGCCTCACGCCTTGCGCATCTTTGTGTCCACACTCCTCCCCTCCCCCACGCTGACCAGACTGAGGCATGCTTGGTGCTTCGAATGAAATATAGACATATTATTTTTTTTTTCTTTTGGTGAGGAAGACTGGCCCTGAGCTAATATCCGTGTCCATCTTCCTCTATTCTGTATATGGGATGCCGCCACAGCGTGGCCTGATGACCAGTGCATCGGTGCGTGCCCGGGATCTGAACTCTCGAACCCCGGGGCCGCTGAATCGGAGCGCGCGCACTTAACCACTGGGCCGGCCCTGAATGAAATACATTTTTAAGAGGGAGAGTCTTCCCTCTTTTACAAGAAGTTGCGTCTTCTTTGCACCCAGCCAGAGGACCTACAAGGACACAAGGCCCCGGGAGGGGTGGGGGGCCATGCCCGGTCCTGGGGGGTGACCAGGGCTGTCTCTGGGCTCTGCTAAGGTTACTGGGTGATTCTTCAGTGATTCTTAGGCTCACACCCGTTGTCAATCACCCAGAAGCCCTGCCTCGCTGGCTGGAAGTGGAAATGACTCCTTACAAGGCTGCACTGGGTGCTGGAGAGTGACCAGGGGATGGATGGGCAGGGAAGGCCCCCACAGGCCCTCCCTTGGGCCCCCCAGAGCGAACAAGACAGACCCAGATAAACAGACCCCACCAGCTCGACGACCTGGGTCCCCAGTGCTCTGGGGGTGACCGTGTGCTAGCATCGTCTGGGCGGTGGCTGACAACACAGATGCCAGGCCCCACCCCCGAGACCCGGGATCCGGAGTCTGGTTGGCGCCCAGGAGCCTGCATCGTGAGCAGGTGCCCCAGTAATTTCTATGCCTGTGCTGTGGCCAGGCTTGGAGACACCCCAGGGCAGGTGAGAACAACAGGGAAAGAAGGTTTTAGCTGAACACGGGGGCCTCGTCTCAGCTGTGCCACTGGGAGCCCAGCCAAGGCCGTGTGACTGGGACGCAGCCCTAAGGGCACCTCCACGGGCCAGCTGGTCAAGAACCAGTGTGGCTGGAGGTCCCCTCAGAGCTGGCAGGGAAGCCCCACGCGCCCAGCCAGGCCCAGGGGCCATCCTGGATCTGCCCGCAGACCCCAAACCAACAACTCCCTTGCTCTGTTCAGCTCTTTTTTTTTGTGAGGAAGACTGGCCCTGAGCTAACATCCATACCCATCTTCCTCTACTTTATACGTGGGACGCCTGCCACAGCATGGCTTGATGAGTGGTGCGTAGCTCCACACCCGGGATCCGAACCTGCGAACCCCGGGCCGCTGAAGCAGAGCGTGCACTTAACCACTACGCCTCCGGGCCGGCCCTGAATTCAGCTCCTTTTAAAGCATCAGCACCCCCACGTGTAGAACAGCAACAACAACAATCCGACCTGCTCTGGAGGGAAGGAAAGGGAGGCGGGGAGCAGCCTGGGAGGGATCCCCTCTGGGCGCCACCTGCCCCCCGGGGCCCGCCACAAGCAGCCAGTACTCCAGCCTCACCCCCTACCTCCCATACACACCAGGGTTTGTAATGCACTTTGCCGGGCCGTCCAGACAGGCGGCAGCAGTAACCCGGGGGGAGGTGGTCACACACACTGGCCCCAGAGCCTGGATGCCTGCGCTCAGGGTCCAGCCCTGCCA